CGACACAGGAGGGGGAAGAGACAGTTAAAGATATACAGTGACATACGAGAAATCGTCGCCCCTCCATAGCGCGGTCCTATACTCTTACAATGATGTTACAAATTAAATGTTTACATCTACGACTATCCGCAGCAACGGTTGTGCCTGGTAACCATCGGCTCTCGTTACCAAGGCCGAGGTGACTTCGGTTCTCGTGCTCTTCGTCCGCACGAATGTTTCATCATCATTTTACATCCCCCGTACACACGTTCGTGTGGCGCTAAAAGACGTGACTTAAAAAAGATAAACAGAAAATCGTCGCACTATTCGCGCGCGCAACAAAAAAATTATCCTTAATCTAGAAAGAAATGATGCCTTGCTAATTTGTTAGTGCGCTAAAACACCCAATTATCTGCTACGCTATCGTCGTCGCGCCGTACAGCGAGGAATCATTTAAATTTCCGTGTAATGCGTTTGATGACGTTACATGGCGACGCGCAAAATTACAAGTATACAAGCGATTATGCACGACACGTCGTATTATCGTAGAATAATGAAGGATTTAAAGATGACGCGAATCACGCGAGACGAGGATCCAATTTCGATGATATTACTGATGTTGCGCGCTCATGCTTCATTCATAATGTATCTTTTTTTTTCCTCGTAGGTTTATCTTTCATCGTGGCAGTGGCGTTTGCTTCAAGTTCAAAAAGGAAAATATACACTAACGTTTGTGCATCACTCAAAAGAATCTCTATACAAATGGTTTGCCCTCGTAATATGCATGGTATTCAAGTGTATTCCTCCATACAGCGCACGGGTTGCTTACACACATTTTCAAAGTGGTATGGTAAATCCGCGCCTCTTGGAAACTCTGTTAAAATCGACCTATGTCACTTTACATTAAATAATATTAATTATAGATATATTAATCGATCTGTATTTCAAAACCGGCAACTGAACAACACTTGATCGTGAAACGATAAGTATATCGCGTATCGTGGTCGCAGCATCACGCACGCGATTATTACAAGACATTATAGGCTAATCTTTGATTCGGTATCCCTTTACTGCCCTTTTACGAGGACGTAATTATTTTATTTATACGCGTTAACATTGCATCAGAGGTGAATAAATCCATCTAACGACTATGATAATTAACAGAAGGACACAAGCGTACATCAGCTCCATAGAGATCGATGTTAACGATAAATATTCTTCGGCATTAAACCTGTGGAAAACGAGTATTTCGTTTCTTCGTTTTTTCTTTTTTTTTACATTCGCGCTTTTTTTTTATTGAGAAGCTTTGCATACGAACGCATACGCGTCTTGTCGACTAATATATGTGCATTAACTTTATTTAAAACATACTTTTATAAACATACTTCCGTTCATCATTCATCCGCACTTTACAGTCCAACATCACATAACACTCTCGCCATATAATTCGTTCGCATACTTGCGTGCTTTAGCCAAAAATCGATTGAAGCACAAGCATTTGCAGGCTGAATCCGCAAAACAGGTTGTTGCGCAAAGCATCGTCGAGAAACGGAGATAAAAAAAAAGGAACGTTCCGAATTTGTATACATATATGTACAATCTTTGCACATCTGTATCACAACTGATAGCAAATTGTGGTCTGGACAATTTTGCCTGTATTGCGTTTGCAAATTAACAGTTTGAGCATTATATAGCGTGTGACCATTCATCTTCGATAATTTGAATAAGGTAACGATAATATTGTCGTTTAAATAAACACAAAATATTCTGTGTAAAATTGTTAAAAATAAATATCTGTGATATATACTATCGTAATACTGCTTGAACACAATGAACAATTGAAGTGTACCTACGCACACTTATTTGAATAAGCGCGCATGTTCTGTGAGTGATAGTTCTACGATAAGCACAGAAAACATATAATTAAATGATGAAAAAATTTCTCATATTTTCTCAGAAAATTTTTAAGAATTGAGACTTGTGAAAAATTCTGAAAAAATACAAAATTTTTCAGATACCCACTTTCAGAAATAATTGGATGAGGATTTTCGGAATATTTCAGTATTCATGTGTATAAAAATTTCTGATAAATAACATATATTTTCTCATATTTATTCAGATTTCTACAAAGATGTGTTGGCGGGAAAAATCTGAAGTATTTCATTATTATTTTGTCTGAGTTTTTCTGAAAAACGTTCCAATTCGTATTCGTAAAAAAGCCTGAAGAATTCTAAAAATTCTAAGAAAGTCTGAAAATTTTTTTAGAAATTCTGATTAATAATATGAAAAATTCTGAAACATTTTTCCACCAGGAACAGTATATATATATATATATATATGTATATATATACACATGTGTGTGTGTGTGTGTGTGTGTATACACCAGCTGTCGTGTAATACGATCTAATAAAAATAATAGTATTCATGTGTTCATACAATAGGAACGATTGGACATGTCGTTAAAAAGCACGTATAACTCTGATAAAAAATAAACTGATTTTTGAAGTGACGTCTTCTTTGAAATATCTAAATCTATAAAAAGAACATATAAAAGATTGCAATTATCCTGGATAACTCCGCAACGCGGTCCTACTATTTGTTGCTAGTTTTATAAACGTATCTGTACTCCTTTTTTTTAAAATGAAACTAACGTGATCTTTGTGAATGAAACTAACGTGATGTTGAAAACTTATTATATAGAAAGTAAAATCGTACTATAAAATCTATGACAAAAATCAGACTATAAAATAGAACAAAATGTTTCGTGTGAATTCAGTTAAAATAAAAGGACTCTGTTATATTGTAATGTTATTCATTTTACGGTATTACCTCATTGTCACGGAACTTGAGCAATCTAATATTGAGCAGTTATAGCAGTCGCGTAACTTATTTCGCAAAGTGAAAAAATAGTAAAGTGACATGAAGAATGGTAGAACATAAATATGGTTTGAAATTATATATTAGAATATATTGATGTAACGCTATGAGATATACACGATATTGTATCAAAGATCTCGTCTATTATTTGTATAAATATAGCAATGATAAGAATTGTGAACAGAATTGCGAACGGTGTTTAAGATTAAAAGAATAATCTGAATAAAAACAGCATGTGGGTGTAAAATCTTTGCTGTCACAATAAGAAACCTCATAATAAGGGCTTTTTTTTACTGCAAGATTATTTTATTAGATATATACCGTAAAAATTTATCCGTAAGAAAAGAATTGTGTATAACAGAATATCGAGTTGCAAAACGTGGACCAAAATATTCCCTAATGTAAAAAAAAAATCAATGCGTCTCCCGAATTCTATCGTGAGGTATCGATGTAACAAGTTTCGAAATACGAAGGGCATGATTATGTCGGATGCGAAAGGAATCGAGTCGCCGTGTAATGCTCATATATATTTGCAACAGGTGCGTTAAATATCAACTAATCGATAGCGTCTCAAAATTGCGTTTGCGCTAAACTCGTCTGCGCTCGTTTACACAGCATAAATACAAATAAATTAACAGATCGAGATAGAGTAATCCTATGTCAGAGTTTCTCGACGTCGAGGATGATTAGAGTTATGTGCTTCAGTCTAAGATCAGCGGAGGACTTGATTATTCGCGCGACGCAGGGGCTTCGCGCCTCGCTTCAATTTTTTTGTTTTTTAACGATAAAGTAAATGCCGTTTCTCTGCCTCGTGCCCGATACTCCACGATTCTTTTCCAACATTGATACAGATGTACATTGATCTATCGGCACGTGGCCGACACCCTCAAATCTTTGTGATTTACGTATAACGTTTAAACAGATCACACGCTTGTCAAATCAATCGATACGCACGTCAACACAGGCACACACTTTTCTGCACACTTTTATATAGTTACACGATTTCCAGACATGATTACGTGCTACCTTAAAATCTGCAAGTTACTCTCTAATATATTACAGAGCTATTAAACTATAGGCCTAAATTTTAGCGATCGCGCGCCGTTCTTATAATACGGAGACTCGCGGCCATATAGGAAACATTTCGTGTTAATCTTACGATACTTATTTCGTATATAGTACATGTACATGGTCTAAGCGTTAACTGCGTTTGTCTGTTATTATACTAGATACAATACGAGCGAGGCTTATTATTACGATACATCGGCCGATAATTAATCCGTCGTTAGTCGTGTTCCTTCTCTGCTTAACTCCGGGAATTTAACGCGCACTTAGATTTTTACCACCTTTCGTTCCAAAACGCGCGTTTTTGCGCGTCAAAGCATTCCGCTTAAAAAAAAGTTAAAGTTGAAAGGAAGAAACGGATTATGTATAATATATAAACGGATTATGTATAATATATGTCTATGTTAAACGAAATCGTCAGAGTTGCGAAGGACAAAAAAGGTTCGCCGTGATCCAAGGCTCTATGTACGCTATATCCCGATAAAATTCGATCATTTCGTCAAGTTCAGAATACGTTCGCAATCAGAGATAACAGCATTCCGATAAATAAATGCCTCATCGCTTAGCTTGGCACGTTGGAAGTGAACAAAATTTCCGAGCGTGTAAAAAAAAAAGAGTATGATAATCGTGTGATTGTTAGTCTGGAATCGCTAAAAGCGATGGAGAAGAAAAGGGGTTGAATAGCGGATACTTCTTAAAAAAATAGTGGTGACACAGAAATTGAGCTTTTTACGCGTGTTATCTAATTACATTTTTTCATCTTATGTCTGTACACAAGCTGTGACGCTGCGTCTTTTCTTTACATCCAATGTATTTTTACAAAATGTTGGGAATAGACATTTGCTATTAGGTCACTGGTATTTTACACGTTGATATATAGGGTATCCTGAGACTGAAACGTTACTCTTTTTTAATAAAAAATGCTTTGATAAATTCGGGATCTGTTTTTGAATGGTTAGTTCCGAAGAAACTTGAAAAAATTTTGCGCGAGCTACATTTAAATATAATAAATAATAAAATAAAATTTTAATGCCTAAAACATAGCGTGTATACATGTATTATATAATTATACTCTTTTATTTCGAATTGCACTATAAAATAATAATTTTATTTATATATATTATTAGATATTATGTGTGTGTATGTGTAAATGACAAGAAAAAACCTTGTGTGTTTTATTTTAACAAAGATCTGATTTTTGTGTGACCATTTAATAAATTGGGTACGAAATATTGAAAGTTAAATGATTCCAACGAGGAATATTCATCTAAATAGCATCGACAAAAGATTAATATCACACGCAATTTCATCAAGAAATCTGTGAAAAATTATACAATGATTTCAGATACCCCATATATTGTTTTACCGCATTTGCTCTGAGCAATCATCGAATCAAAGTGGCATGGGTCGTATGCGCGCGACGTTGTAGGAACAACCGTGGATCGCACTAATAAATCTCGTAGTGGACTAAATATACCTTCAAACGAATGCGCAGTGTAAGAACGAAATAAATCATCAAAAGGAGGGTGTGTTTGCGGATATGGAACAGTCTGGAACTTCTACCATTTTGTCTTGCATCTTTAACTTACTGAGAGATTACGGATGTATAGTGGGATTAGCTAATCAGTCTTGTGTTAGAGGCTCGTTATGTCTAGACTCAACTGCATTACGTTGCGTTGCTCGTACAATAACTCTTTCCTCATTTCATTAGGATTCATCCAATATTATTTATCTCGCGACTGTAACGATTACACGGGTTCAACCTTTTCTCGTCCGTCGTCAATCTTGTTTCTCACTGGGCTCTAAGACAGTCTACGTTCTCTCGTCTCTACTCAAAAGCATGGTGTATGCCTCTGAATTTCATAGTTTATTTCGTGGAGCAACGCAGAAACGATAAGAGCGATATCTTACGCCGCGGACTGTTGTAGCCGTTTACGGTGTATAAATACTGTGGATGATCCTATTGCACGATATGGAGACTATAAATTCATGACTGTAGATTGCACGGTGAATCTTTGCGGAATATGTCAACTTTCAGTCGAAAAGTGGTATTGGTTCGCAATGAAAAATATGCTGTATCTTCCTCGTTGGAAGATATTACAAGAGGCATATTGTAGGAGGCAAAATGCGATTTCATGTGCCAGCTCCACGAAATAGTACAGTTACGTACATAGCATATAGCCTATGTCAATATGTACAAGGTATGTCAGGAAAATTTCAGAAGCACAATAGCAACTAAAAGAAATTTTGACAGAATTACTTATTGCTCATTTCATATAAATATCTAACGCATCAGATTCAACAAAGTTCACCTTCGGAACGTCGAATTTCTTTTACATATTATTGTGATCGTTAATTTGTTCAGCCCTGAAACTTTTCAAACATACATATAGCTTTGTTTCGTTTTGTTTTTTGGATCTCTATATTTGCGAGATTGTCTAGAATGAGAAAAATACGTACTTTTATAATATTTGATCGTGTCAGAATTTTGAAATTAAATTATAATATTAATATTAAATTTAAAGATTAGACACTAATTGTTTTCATTTAAGATTTCATCATAATTACAATATAAAAAGATTAAAATAAAAGCTATGAACTTTTTGCAAATTATATCGCAAATGCTCATTAATTGTACGGTCGCTACTGAAAAAAGCCTTTCAATTTAAAAAAAAGGATCCTTACTCTCTAATTCTCCTACTATGTATCGAACAATTGGTGGATTCAGAACTCTTAGATTAACTGATACAATAAAGTCAAAAATATTAAAACAATAGTAGAAAACATAAATATAATAGAACTTTATAAATTAGAGGAACGCGATATATTTGCTAAGTCCATACACTTATTCTGAATCACCCCCTCTACACACATACTTTCCAACATATCTATATCACTATACGAGTTCAAAGCTTAAAATCATGCAAAGTGGCGACTAGGCGTAATTCACAAAATTTATAAAAGGTGGTCTTTTTGCTGTGAACAAAATGTCGTACCAACGCGGTAGTCGACCTAATTGCCACTTTGGTGTACCATATTTACTATAAACTCGGAGAAAAAATAAACCAATGCTATACAATATAGTTACAGCAGAAATTGCGCAAAAAGCGTATCTTGCGACTGAAAACGAAACAGAAAGTCTATGATTTAAATAATAAACCTGCTTAATTCTTCGATACACGCTAGATAATTAATAGGGAGAGAAGTTACTACATGCTTGTCAGTAGATATAATAATGTGCATTGCCGATGGACAACCGCCATGCTTCAGCGGTTCAATTTCAAGATTTTTTACTTAAATCGCAACTGTCTATAATAACTCCACAATAACGGCGTCTTTAGTGTAAAGTAAACTCTCCATATTAACATATACTACAGCGACAACTTCAAAAAGACAGTATCTGATATAAATATATTCGCTGCTCGTTTCCAACATGCATCGCAGCGCAACAAATATATAATTAGCTGTACACGCGTAGCAATATTAATTACATTTAGAGAGACGGAATTAAGACATGGTAACACCCGTATAAGGAAACTCCATTTGTTTGTTAGGACCTGTACTCTTAGTTAGACGTCTAGACGTTTAAAATATAGACTTATGAGTATAACTCGTATGTTAGCTAGAACACACTAACATCCCTTTCATATACAGAAAACACTGCTCAATGTAATCCTTTCAAAACGATAATCCAATACGCTCATAAATTTGGCACAGACACTGCCTTTTTGTTGGAATACTCATATCCAATTCACTCCAAGTGATAAAATTTTGTACAGCGAAGCTACGTAGCCGTATTACCGATGTAACCGTTATTCAATGTTTCCGATTTGTTCATATAGTCGCCTGTGTGCTTGTTGTTTTCCGTTTTGTCACCATTGATCTGAATATCCATAACGTCCACTGATGGAAATTCTACATGTAAAGAAGTAATCTCCTTTTTGTCGATGCCTGACATGATTTCAGGACTTCTATTTTCGTAATCGGGATCGTCCCGAAACGTAGACGGATTTGGGCTATCGAGAAAATTTCGCTTAACTAAGCTTTGTGGACTTCCAGGCTTCCCTAGAGAACCTTGACTTACGTTACTGCGGGAAGTACTTTTCTTATATATAAAAGGCGAGCTTCTGACTGATTTAAGGCTGCCGTCTACAAAAGGCGAGTTTAACGTGTCCTTACTAGATACGAGCGAATCTCCAGAGATACCAAATTCATCGAATCCAGCTTTGGGTACTTTTGTAGAATTCATGTCATGGAAATTGGAAATAGCTTTTGAGGTTTCGCCATACGAATCTGCTCCATATCGTGGACTTAAGTTATTTTTAATACTGCAAGGCTCAAAACTTGCAAAATCACCAAAGTCTTGACGTAGTGGTGAATCTTCTTCTCCCTCGATTTCTTCCTCCCGCAAATCTTGTAGAGCAACCATTTCTAGATCTCTGTTTAAATTAAATAATAAAATTACACACATTTAATCATTCAAATATGCAAATTATTATATTAATTGATATAAGATTATATACTTACTGGTCATTTTGTGGTGAATGCGAATTATTTTGATTTCGAGCTTCGATTCCTTCCGGGCTATGATAAAAGCTAACATTCTCAAAATCTTCTATACTAACTTCTTGCAATAACAGCGTCTCGATGTCTATAAAGGTAGGTCTTCTCGTGGCTCTATGATTCCAGGTACGTCTCATTAAATTATACAGTGAGTCGGGACAATTTTCCGGTCGTTCCATAACTCCTCCTTCAATTACATAACGCAATACCTAAAAAACATACAATAATTTAGAGAAACGTATAATGTAATAACCGAAGGCGATTTTGTTGCAGAATTTGTATTCACCTGATCATTTGACAAGCCTTGATATGGTTGTGAAGCTAGCGTTACCATTTCCCATAGAACAACTCCGTAACTCCAAACGTCAGAAAAACTGGTAAATACACCGTCTTTCAAACTTTCTGGTGCCATCCATCTGACTGGTAGCAGCCCCTTGGAGCCTTTTCGATAATAATCAGTTTCATATATGTCTCTTGTCATGCCAAAGTCGCCGATCTTTACAGTAAGATCTTCGGCTACCATACAATTGCGAGCAGCCAAATCTCTGTGAACAAATTTCTTCGCGGAGAGATAAGACATGCCGTCCGCAATTTCGACTGCCATTTGCAAGATATCTCTCAATGTCGGAGGATATTTGGAGTTCTCGCATACGTCCGGTCGATGACTTCTCAAATACGTCTTCAAATCGCCATTCACCATCAGTTCCATAACTACCAATGTAGGTTGACCTTGTGACACTACGCCCAGTAGTCTGACAACGTGATGTGTGTCAAAAGCCCTTCAACGAGAAAATTATAATAAATTAGAATTCAGATAGAAAAATATAATATTACTAGAGAGGAAGTAATTAATTTCTCTTACTTCATGACGGACGCTTCGTTAAGGAACTCTATCCGTTCACGGTCGGTTGCGTTTTCATTTACAGTTTTCACGGCGCACCGCACTTCCGGTTTGCCTTTTACGACATCCTTGGCCAATCCTTCGTATACCATGCCAAAAGAACCATTCCCTAATTCTCGTAATAATTGAATGTTCTTTCTGGACACCTCCCACTCGTCCGGTACGTAACTCGTGCTCACATATTCTGGATTCACTGTCGCAATAAGCCTCATACTGGGCACATTTCGCATTGATCTTTTTTTAAATATGTAGAATATTGTCAAAAAACTGAATATTATGATAAAGCCCAATATCGACCAAAAGAAAATCCAAAATGTACTGAACGTGCCATATTCCGGTATATAAAAATATTTTACTTCGGTATATGCGCCATTTCCAGCTAAGCTCGTAGCTCGTACTTTTACGGAATAATTTCCAGTAGAAAGTTCCTTCAAGACATACGAGTTGCCCATATTGGCAAAATCGCGTCTTGTAATGCATACCACCGTTGCTTTTATCTGTACAATATAGAAAAAGCTTATATTACAACAATATATACAAGATAAACTCTGAATTAAAAATTATCTTTTTTCTCCCCAAAAGATCCTTTTTTTTTAAATATTTTTTTATCAAATTCTTCCCTTTTTCTCATCGAAAACATACCTGTTTGCAGTAATCTTGCTTAATAAATAGAAACTAAAAAGTATATTACTCACATTTTTAATATCAACTCTTTTATACTCGATCTGATACGTGACTATTAGGCCATTGGGTTGAGGTGGTTCATCCCAAGATAATGTAATAGTGAGACTGTTATTCTCGCCAGAATACTTCAATTTAAAGGTGTCCGGTGGAATATTGTCTGCGCTCTCCATCGCTAACGTACGGTAGGTTTTCATACTTTTCGTCGAGCAATTTTTATTCTTATCATTTATATCATTCTCAATTCGTTCCCGGCAAGCTTGAACCTCAATATTGTACGCAGCAAAGTGCCGGAGATTTCTCATGACGAAAGTAAGATTCGTGCTGGGTATTAATCGTTCGAATATAGTGACTGTACCATTCTCCACTTTATTGTTAGTGCTTTCTCTATCCTGAACATAACATATCGAGAATCATATTCAATTTTAAACAATGTAAAATACATGCGTAATTAAATGCAGTCCATCAAATGCTATTATTGACTCATTTCGTACTGATATTTTTACTATTATTTCTATCGAAGTTAATCTCTTAATCAATTTACGCATGATATAAAATACAGGAATAATGGTCTTTAAAATGTTACTTGTAAATATAAATAAATAAATAAGTAAAGTACATAAGTAAATAAAGTCCAGTACGCAATTTATTTCTTCATTTTTATATTGGTTTGTTCATAGCTAATAAACGTTATTGATTTCAGCGAATCTGAAATTTTACCTGTTCGTATGCAGACTCTTTGGCTAGATCCGCCGCGACTAACATTTCACTAGTGTGGCGCCTTCTACGCGCGTTAGACATTCGTTTTACATAAACTTGATTATGTAACGCGTTCTCAAAGGCGATCGAACTGGAAACTTCTTTCTCACGCATCGACTGATCCATTTCACGATCTGTACAGACGCACGAATCGGATTTTGTAAACTCCTTCTCTAGTTCAGTATGCTTCTTTTCTTCCTCCGCTATGACTTCCTCTGGTGCTTTTGCTTCAGGTAACGGCATAGCTGAAAGTAGTAACAATTTATTAATAATTAATTAATTAACTTTATTTTCCACAAAAATATATCACGTAATCAAAAAGTTTAACGCACTTATATTAATTGTAACAATCGTGAAATCATTGTTCAACAAAAAAATCGTTTTGTGTAGTTTTTTGGGCGCTAAAGACGATTTTATTTTACAAAATTACTCTATCAAAAAACTACGGGAAACGTTATCCTCGTTTTCGTGCTCGAAAATGTCATTTTTTATTGAACAACGTAACTAATACTTATATAAAAGAAAAATTTTCTTTATATTATATTACTATATTGAAAAAATAAAGTGATTTGAATTACGTTCATCGCAGTAATTCCTCTGGTCGATGAAATTCGGATCATCGGGCTCCCATCGACCGACAATTCGATAATGTGTTAAATTTCCATTTTTGTGTAGCGGCGGAAACCAGGATATCACCAGTTCATTGCTAGAATTACTCCAAGTCGATAAGGCTCTGGGCGAACTAGGCGCATCCGGCAGCGTCGTAAAGTACTTGACTTTACTCTGCGCGCCTGACTTTTCCGTGGCTATGGTGTAAGTCTTAACGTAATAAGCATACTGAGTATATGGCTTCAGCAGAGTCAGTATGTGAGTGTGATAGACAGGCTCTTGTGATTCCGTGCCGTTGTGAGACTGCGGCGTCGTGCTCTCAGCGGAAACGTCCTCCACCCGCCAGCCATCACCGCCGCAAGCATCGCGGCCATCATACATTGTTATGTTCTGATTAGGTGCTTCGATGAAGTAAACAACGTAACCCAAAAGGGACCTGGTATCGTGGTGCGTAAAGGCCTTCCACTCGATAATAGCTCCCCTAGATGATTTCTTGGTGACCTTAGTCTTTAGCTCGGTGACGTTACAAGCGACCTTGTCTCCGTTGCTGCTGGATGCCACATCGTGATCAGTGAATTCTTCCAACTTGGCCTTCTCCCGCAACTTTTCGATCTCGTGCAGACACAATTTCGGGTTGAAATGAAAGAAGAGCTTAGCGGGACCTTTCTGGGACATGATAGTGATGTTTGGATGCGTGTTCCAATCCCAGAGCTCCTGAAGATTCTGATTATCGAGCACGGCGAGACTGTACTTGTTGTTCTCGAGTTGGTTACCGCGTATCACGCGCAGATTCTTCAGAAAGTTTAGAGATATCAGCGGGAAGCTGCGGACGATCTTCAAATAGCCGTCTATCTCCTCGATCGTGCTTAGACTGTCCTCGAGTTCCTTTACGATGTTCTTGCCACCGCGTATCTGTATCTCGAGGCTACCTGCGATGTGCGTACACCCGCGTAATTTTTGTGCCGAAGCGATGTTGTCCACGTTCGCCCCAGAGCATTCCTTCCGACACGATCGACCTACACACTCTTTGCAGGTCGGATTGCCATGCTCCTCGCCCTCCATATAACCCACCGGGCACTCCATCACGCATCTAGTGTCGAACGGCCTGTATGGGCGCAGCTTCACATTATCCGACGCCTCGCGCGGCTTCAGCATCTGACGACATTCCTGCTCCTCAATGCAACGCCGATTCATGAACTCGAATTTGCCCGCCGGGCAACGGTCTTTGCACTCCTCGTTCACTACTACGTTTCTGCAAACAATGCAATCACTGGCCGTCGGTCCCGTGCATCCACCCAGGCAGAACGGATGACAACATTCTCCTGTATCGTCGCAAGCTCTATTCTCGCACTTCTGATCGCATACTGTAAGAAGACAATCGTTACGTTAAAAGGAGGTGTCAAACCGCTTAAAACCGCTTACCGCGTTTCTCTCCGTCAATTCAGTAAATAATAACTTGCGAGCGATAGAATCATTGTGTTTGTGTGGTGGAATTTTAATCGGATATATTTATATACGACACTTAAAGAGATAAGGTATATAAACTGATGAGAGTCTGGGAGACAAGGAGCAAGGACTGGAAGCTATAAAAAGAATAGTGAAGGAAAAAGCAAAGAAGGAAGAAGAGGCAAAAGCAGAGGACGAGGATTCTAGGATATAAAAAAGAGAAATAATAAGAAAATTAATAGAAAAGAAGTAGAAGAGTCTGTACATACAAGTGACAGAACAATTAAGAGAGGCTAAGAAATGTTGGTGAAGTTGGCATATCATTTTCCAGCAGATCAAAAATAAAAGAGAGTTCTTGTCGCATGCAGTCGAGTTCTATAGTTCCTGATACTTTTTAAGTAATAGTTCTGGTGATTTTACCTAAAAAATAGTCGATCGAAAAAATGATCTGCTAACTTCCCGTAGCAGATCATTTTCTAGCAGATCAAAAATAAAAAAGAGTTCTTCTCGCATATAGTTGAGTTCTATAGTTCCTCATACTTTTTAGTGATAGTTTTGGTAATTTTGCCAAAAAAATCCATTGAAAAAATTATCTGCTAGTTTTCCATAGCATAGAGTGAGATGCCGACGAAATCTCGGAGTTCCGATTTATATAAAACATTTTTCGAATAGTTCTGAACATACTGAAGCATTTTCTAAAAATTCGAAGTATAGGTTCCAATTGAAAATCCGTACGAATAAACCGGGCTAACTAAGAACCAGCGCGGTAAATGATGCGCGAAAGTTTTATTTATATTTTTATTTTACATATTTTCCAACCTTTGACTGCGTGCCGACTAGATTTGTCAGACTTGAAACACAGCTCCGGTTGGAGTAGTAAAATCCTTCCCCCTTACATCCCTTAGTTAAATCGATTTGATTTAATTTTTGATGCTATTATGCATCTAAATAACTGTAAAGAAATCATTGCGAAAAATATTACCTCAGCCAGAGTTCGAACCTGAAACTTTCTTCATTCCGTGAAGATCGTACCAATTCGACCACTGAGATATATAACGCGGCGCTCGAACGATATAAATTTATTAAAAGATTATACAATATTGTTAGTGCAGGAAACTTTTTAGAAAATGCAGAAATATGTTCAGAACTATTCGAAAAATATTTTAGATAAACCGGAACTCCAACATTTTGCACAAAATATCACTCTATTCTCTCTAAGTACGCGGCGCTCGGGCAATATAAATTTATTAAAAAATCATACAACATTGCTAGTGTCGGGAACTTTTTAGAAAATGCTTCAGTATGTTCAGAACTATTCGAAAAATATTTTACATAAACCGGAACTCCGAGATTCTACACAGCATATCACTCTGTTCTCTCTAAGTACGCGGCGCTCGGGCAATATAAATTTATTAAAAAATCATACAACATTGCTAGTGTCGGGAACTCTTTAGAAAATGCTTCAATATGTTCAGAACTATTCGAAAAATATTTTACATAAACTAGAACTCTGACATTTCGTACAGCATATCACTCTATTCTCTCTAAATACTCGGCTTTCGGGCGGTATTAGTTTATAAAAAAATCATGTAACATTGCTAGTGCCGGGAACTTTTTAGAAAATGCTTCAGTATGTTCAGAACTATTCGAAAAATGTTTTATACAAATCGGAACTCCTAGATTTCGTCGGCATCTCACTCTATGGGCCGATATCACAGTCTCCGATTAACGTGATCCTCCGATTAAGCTCACTCTTCGTCTCTTTCTAGGGGGACAGTTAGAAAGAGATGCAGAGTGAGTTTAATCAGAAGGATCACGTTAATCGGAGACTGTGATATCGGCCCTATGTTATGGAAAAATAGCAGATAATTTTTTCAATGGATTTTTTTGCAAAAATTACCAGAACTATCACTAAAAAGTATTAGGAACTACAGTACTCGACTGTATGCGAGAACTTTTTTATTTTTGATCTGCTACGGGAACTTAGCAGATTATTTTTTCGATCGATTGTTTTTTGGGTAAAATCGCCAGAACTATTAAAAAGTATCAGGAACTGCGACAAGAACTTCCTTTTATTTTTGATCTGCTGGAAAATGATATGCCAACCTCACAAAGACGGTAATATTCTTTAATAAAGAGTAAATTTTATAAGCTGGAGTTTTGAGTTTTAGAGAGGGGAGTCTGAAATTGGAATTTTTTTTAGATTCAAGTTAATTTATATGATTAAAGCAAATATGCACAGAAGTAAATGTATAAATGTATAATTGTTAAAATGCAAAAATGTAGGCTAAAGGTAAAGTAATGCGAAGCAAATAGACAAGTTTAGAGGTATATTAGTTGAAAAAATGAAAGTATAACATTGTATGAAACGTTGTATTACACGAAAGTTTATCGGAAGCGGCAAGGCAGTGATTAAATAAATAATAATAATAATAATAATAATAATAATAATAATAATAATAATAATAATAA